TATATATATATATATATATATATATATATATATATATATAATCAATTAATTTATATATATATATATATATATATATATATATATATAAATTGAAATTTTTTTCCGCTACACAGTTCTAACCATGTTTCAAAAATGGAAGCTAAAAGTGTTACAGTTTTTTGTGTATATATATGTAACTAGTGAGCGAGTCAAAATGACTTAATTCCCTTTATAGTCGACCAATAGAAGGTTGACCAATCAGAAGCCGCACAACACTGTATCCGTCGTGTATAAAGGCGGCCATCTTTGTTTACCTACCGGAATGACCAGAGGCAACTTTTCCGGCGAACAGGACAGTTGGAAGAACTATGCTCTGCTACTTTGCTGCGATATCCACTGCGAACCTGCACTACGCTTTCCTACTGTCTCCGAAATATTCACTGCCAACCTCTGGATTCTATACTCGAAGACGACCGTCAAAATGTCTAACAAAAAGAACACCGGATTATATATCTTACTGTTCTTTCTTTTTATTTATATACACACACACACGCGCACATAAATATAAAATGGCGACAATTTACACATCGCACACACACATGTGTGTGTGTGCAGATATGTAGAAAAATAGGAAAGAACACGTTAGGTAATTATTATTATAATATTATATTGAAGTTTTCGGCTCTCGTTTTTGAAACATGAGAACTCTTATGTAGCGAAGGAATCATATTTTTTTTAAATACTTATAATATATATATATATATATATATATATATATATATATATATATCAATTGTAGACTCTCCTATCATGAACGATAAATGAGGGTCAGCATTGGATGGTGCATTTCGTTTTACACTTGCTGCATCCTAGCAGGGGCTATTGTCGAGAAAATCAGGTAAGGGAAAGACATAGTTCATTTGTGCTTTCTTAAGGGTGATACAAGCCCAGCCTTGCTGCGGGCGACAAATCCACACTGACAGATGAAATTTGTTAAAGCAGGAATATCATGGCGTCTTTGCTTCAGAGCTTGACGGAGCTGATCACGGTGCTGCTGTCTACTGTCTTTAAAACCCTTTAACTTAATGAAACATGTTTTACGCCACTCCTTTCGATTTGATGCTTGGCTTCCCAGGTTTTCAGATCAAAGTTTCAATTCGTCTTTGTAGCATAAGAGTGAACGTCCAACAGAACACTTGGTTTAGTAGTTGTCCATACAGCACCTTTTTTTTTTTGAGTGGGGAAGCCTATGCTCATCTATTCTCACAGCATAACCAACCCACCTAAGTTGTATCTTTGCTAGAATGGTTTCAATGCCTGTGGTGCTGTTACATTTCTTCAGCATTGCACTATTCTTGACCCTGTCATCTCATTTTATATCACATATGATACGAAGACAGCATGTGAATGACGCCAAGTTGATTTATGTGCTTGCGTTTCAAGGTCCAGGTTTTAACATCATAGAGCTGGGTTGAGAGAACGACCGATCTGTATATGTCGATATTTACTCTGAGCGACACGTCTTTGGTGTTCCATAACCTATGTTTAAGTTTACCAAATGCTGTGCTATCTGTGGCTATTCTGGATTGGATTTCTCTGTCCATTTTTCCATCAGAAGAGGCCGTTGATCCAAGATATGGGAAAGCCTCAACAGTTTTTAATACTGTATTTGTGAGAGATGGATTGCCTGATACTGGCCGGTACATTAGATCAGTCTTATTTATGTTAATAGTGAGTCTAAATGCTTTCACTGTTTAAATTTATCAAGGATAGTTTGAATGTCTTCTAGACTGTGTGCTAATAGAGCGACATCATCTGCAAAGAGAAGATATATATATATATATATATATATATATATATATATATATATATATATGTGTGTGTGTGTGTGTGTGTGTGTGTGTGAAAATATATAGAAAATAGGAAGGACTGGTTAGGTAAATAATCCAAAGTCCCTTAGTATTTTAGTTATTATTTTTAAAAAATAGTGCTCGATACAGAAGTAGAGCATAAATATAATTATTTATTTTTGGAATCATATTTTTAAATAAATAATTATATATATATATATATATATATGTGTGTGTGTGTGTGTGTGTGTGTGTGTGTGTGTGTGTGTGTGTGAAAATATAAAAAAATAGAAAGGAACTGGTTAGGTAAATAATCCAAAGTTCCTTAGTTATTATTTTTTAAAAAATAATGCTCGATACAAAAGTAGAGCATAAATATAATTATTTATTTAAAAATATGATTCAAAAAACGCAACATAAGAAGTCTCATGTTTCAAAACAAGAGCTGAAAACTTCAATATAATTATTTAAATTAAATTGTGATAAAGTAAGCTCTGTTCCATCTTCAAGCGAATTTTTAAATTTTAAAAAAAATTAAAAAAAAATTTCGAAACATGAGACTTCTTATTTGCATTTTGGAATCATATTTTTAAATAAATATATATATATATATATATATATATATATATATATATATATATATATATATATATATATATATATATATATTATTGCACACGGTTAAAAAAGTGGGACATGATGTTTTATTTATGATAAAAAAAAAAAAATAATTGATAAACTTAGAGTTTCTGCTAATTCCTGCATTATGTAATGTGAGTTATTCTGTTTTGATGTTTCGAGAGCTGTGGTGGGGGTCTGCCTAAACGTTCTTCATCAATAAAGCTACAATCACCACATCTAAACCATTTCCGTACCAGTACGTATCTTTTTTTGTTGCTTCCGAGGCGTCAAGTGTCTAAAATGCAGCTTATAATCTTCTATTTTCATACTGATGGAAAAATTGGCATGAATTAAGTAATTTTAAACCTTTTTTTTCTCTAGAGATGGTTTGAAGTGTGCCTTAACTGGAAATGAAAGTATATGATTATAACGTGCTGGAACATGAACAACTAAAAATCGGCATGAACTTTCCGGACAAACAATTTTATTTTATTTCACCTGTCACAATTTGCTTAAAAAATGAGGTGCATTTTCATTGCTTTATACAGCAAATCACAAATAAACTGCAGTCCAAAAGATTCTTTTCACTTAGATCATGTGGTACCCAAACATCGTAGCGATTTGTGTATTCACACTTCACGGATGGTGGGTTTTGACAAATTTACTGTTTTTATTTGTTCCTATGTTGTGTAATGCGGGTTATTTTCAATTAATGTCTTGATTTGGTTGTCATCTGTAGTGGGGGGGTCTGTCTAAGCGTTCTTCATCACTAAGGCTACCATCGCCAACTCTAAACTTTGTGAACGACTTCCATAACAGTTCGGTCAGCTAAAACAACTTCACTGTACACAGTACATACCATTTTTGTAAGGCATTTTTGCTTTTATGGTAAAAAAAGGCGTCAAGTGTCTAAAATGCACCTTATAATCTTCCATTTTCATAAGGATGCAAAATTGGCATGAATTAAGTAATTTTAAACCTTTTTTTCTCTAGAGATAGTTTGAAATGTGCTCTAATTGGAAATGGAAGCATATAAAATCTGTTTATAAATTCGACATATTTTAACGTGTTGGAACATGAACATGAACAAACAATATTATTTTAATTCACCCGTCACAATTTGCTTAAAAAATGGGTGCATTTTTTTGGCTTTTATACAGCAAATCACATATGAAATGTAATTCAAAAAATTCTTTTCACTCAGATTATGTAATACCCAAACATAGTGATTCTTGGGTACTCAAATCACTACAAAGTGCTAATGAATGGCGTATTTTGATAAATTTAGTGTTTCTGCCAATTTCTCTGTTGTATAATGCGGCTTATTCTCAATCAGTGTCTTCATATGATCATCATCACTGGAAGAGTCGGGCCTGCCTTAGGGTTCTTCATCAGTAAAACTAGAATCATCAACTCTAAACTTAGCGAAACACTTCTGTACCATTCTGTCAGCTACACAGCACCTTATAATTTCAAAATTGACATAAATTAAGTAAATTTAAACCTTCTTTTTCTAGAGATAGTTTAAAGAGTGCTCTAATTGGAAATGTAAGCGTATTATATCTGTCGATACATTCGACATGTTTTAAAGTGTTGCAACATGAACGACTAAAAATCGGTAGGAATTTTCCGGACAACCCAATATTTGTTTTGTCTATATAACATGAGGTATTATGATTACTTGTATTATATACATTATTCTGATTCGCAAATACAATTTTAAGTAGGCGCCTAAGGGGGTCGTCAGTGATGTTTTTGACTTGGTTCATCAGGAAGTTTCGGGTCTTTCAACATCATACACCCCATCACCAAATCGACCCAATCAGGGGAGATCAACCCCTGATTCCCCCTTCTGATTAAACGCTAACAGCCACATATTCCGCACATCCGATTGGATGTTTGTAACAACCAATCCGGTGCGCGAAATATCTTTTAAATGGCCCGCGGTGGGGACTGGCTTCTTTTCTTATTTCGGTGGATTGCGGTTTCGATGGATAACCGAAGATTATTATCCTGATCTTCATTGCCATATTCGCAACGTTTCGGCCATTGTACGCCCCAGCATTCTTCAGATGATTGGAATTTCGAACCGAACTCTTTATTTGGTCCACAGGGGTAGATTGTTCTAGTTCCATGTGCCATGCTTCTTCCGGGTATCTCAGTTATTACCCTTTAACAATCTACAAAATATCGCCATGTTGCCGTTTAATGTTAGAGCGTTTCTAATAAAAAAAAGTCAAGAATTATTGGCTCTGGAGATTAATAATTATAACATTAATTTATGCTGTCTCTAAGAAACTAAAATCAGAGGATTTTATTTTAATATCAAAGATTGACTGCACATGTGAATGACTTTGGATACAGTTAATATTATGATTTTTCAAACCAAATATACAAAGACAAACATTTATCTACCTTGACAGATAGATAGATAGATAGGAACGGAATGAGATTTAGATACATATGAACAAAGTGAGATAGATAGATAGATAGATAGATAGATAGATAGATAGATAGATAGAAATGAGATAGATTTAGATAGAAATAGAT